ATAAGTGTGTGCGTAAATACGAGTATGTGCGGATACTGGATTATGCGATGTGACATTATCCCAGGAAAATTATCGGATAAAATGGCACGAACTGCGCTAGAATTCATCAGATATCGAGTAACGATACTGCATAATGTACACCACTGCAACGTTTGTCGTGATCATCCTCCTTTCTGTAACTCTTCCAGTACACTCGACCGGTAAGCATTTACAAGTTGTTGCAGCTATTTTTTCTTTTCGTGAAATGATTCCTATTGCTCGCAACTGAACGATCGTTCATTTGAATATAGATTGTTTTTCGTGAAAGAATCTTTTTCATCACGAATAAGTGGACTAGGCAACAAAGAATACTGATTGTAGGAATAACAATGTGGATTTTTGCTCATTTTTCATCTAGTAACTGATCTCGATTTTATTATCAGTCATGCACCCTCCCGTTCTCTTTCAAGTGAAAACCACCTGAAGATGACTGTATTGCGCATTAGCTGAACGCATCTGAACTAATTGACTAATCAAAATCAAGCAGAAGTTCGTTGAAGAATTGAATTGAAATGGTGGAAGATTTGAACAGAATTGATTAGAAGTTGGGTTTATTGAGATTCTTTTGTAGATTTGCAACTGAGTTGGCGAGGGGTAAGGTAGGTTGAGAGGAAAGGAAATTAGATTACATAAGTTGAGTTTAGATTATCTTTGCAAAATTGTTTTCGAAAACGGATTAATCTGAAAACCGATCAAATTCAGTTTCTGTGGAATGCCAAAACTTGGCCAATATGTGCACATCAATCACCCTTCACATTCAAAATCATCTGGCGAGTTGTGCGCTCCATCGACGACGATGCGTTGAGCGTGAACGGACTGGTATGTTTCCGGCGTTTTTCTAAAATTCATTACTGTTATTATTTTTATGATTGCTACTGTTACTACTATCATCATTATTATTGTCATAGTACTCATCATCATCATTTTATGTTAATGTTATCTTAAATTTCACTGCCTCTTGTTTAAAGTAATCACAATCAGATAAATTCTTGAATCCCTGTGGTTAGCCTGCATTGGCTAAGAAATTCCTTTATCCATTGACCTTATCTGTCATTTATCATCAAAACCCGAGAAGTTACAAACGACTTGTTGCAAAAAATTAGTTACGGCATACTGATCAAGCATAATTAGGTCAAGCTCCATGCAGAATTATCAGTGTTGAATCAGATAATTGAGAAACAATTTAAATTTCTCGTTCAGGTTGCACTAGTGGAAGTGGAACGTGTAACTGACACGACGCTGGTTGTCGCGACGAATACTGCAAAAAGGAGGGGAATTGATGGTCCATCATAGGGGCCATAATCTCGAAACATTCTCAACGAATCCAACGTTATCTTCCTTGGTATCGTCTCCAGAACGAACAAAATAACAAACCAAAATTTTATTGTTACTTTATCATGATATCTTCTTACAGACATGATCTATCTTTTGATTGGATGATTATTTATAGTAAGGACTGTGTGGATCAACAAATGCTTCTTATGTAATAGATATACGCGGATGTGTTATTCATTTATTATTCAATCTAATAAATACGATATTATATTAATCAGTGTCTATGAATTGATAATTTTTTCTAAACACTTGATTTAGTGTTATGCTAAACATTTGCTCTTCAATTTTGTGCTTCATTCTTTCGTTCGATTCAATATTAACGTCGGTTGTCGACTTCTGGATCAGGACTAGAATGCTTCTTGTTGGATGGAGAGTTCAAGATTCGCCCTCATAATAATTGCGAGTTGATGTGAACGATCATTATGATGTTAACAGTGTACAATTGACTCATCATGATTAGGCGACCTGCATGCTGGCAATGAGATCGTATCACTACCGTGGCAGTGTTCTATAATATTAGAATCGGAACGTATGAAGAATTTCGAATTTTGAGCATACACCTTTGGAACAGTTCAGTTCCGCGTACAGTTTCAGTCATGAATTCAATGACAATGTTTGGAATTTCGGATTTTCGTCAGAGATAGGAGCATGTTTGTTGCCTGGTGATAGATTTCCGTTTGCTGCAATCGGTAAAAATCGATTTAAACGAAGCTTCATGGAACACGGTTATAAACTGAGGTATTTCACAGAAATTAACACTGAGGTATACAGTCAGGTATTCTGAGGATCTACCGTTGATTTAGTTGGGTGGAATTACAACGTAGCGACGAAATAATAGCATTATCGCTCAGCCATATTGCGTAACTTTAGAAAACCAGCTAAATTTGCATAAATGGTTGTTAAAACGATACATGTGTAAATAGTGAACATTTTGATGGAATTGGTGATGTGTAAAACTCATAAACTCCTGTCCAAAA